ATTGGCATCTTTATTCACACTTGTACCTTGTACTTAGCTGGTGATAACTGAAAATAGATAAACTATAAAGCGAACCTTATTAAAACATCCACAATAGGTCATACATTAAGTGGATCTTTTTGTCCCTTGATCAACAACATATTTTTGCTGTATCACACTCACTTTGATACTGAAAGTAACAAAGTCCTTAAACCCTAAGATAATAGAATATTTGCTTATTGGCCTTAATATAGTACATCTTGCATATGTTTAGTCAATTTTCAAGAACTGAAGCCAATACATTAAGTGTATCATGAATGTGCAACTCCACACAAGATTTTCCTTTTCATTAAATGTTGTAGTTCTAAGCCAGTTTCTTTTGAATTTCCTCAAAAAAAAAAAAAAAAAAAAAAGCCAAAAAGTGGGAAGTGAGTGGTTTATTAAATAAGCACTGCTTTTTATCAAATAAAACTGCTGTAAAAGACTTAGATTGCCAGAACGAGATAAAATTCCTTGAACCCAAATATCCACCATACACAGAAAAGGTTACCCTTCCTACATTATCGAACGAATTGCCAACAAATAAGCAAACACAAAAAATATATAAATAGAAACTATATCATAGAAACAATATGGTAAGATAAAAAAAATATCCAGACAGTTTTTAGAAACAATATTATTGTACACAACTGACTTAAGAAAAGTTGGTCCTATATCAAAGACAAAATAGGACCTCAAACTGTATATTTTATGCACAGTACTGAAAGTGAAGCCAGCTGCTTTGCTGGCAATAAAACTTAAAGAACAAAGTTGTTATCTAAAGAGGGGTAATTAGGCATTGGAAAGTATAAAGAACTCATTGCTATTTAAGAATGAAATACTATAATTGACAAAACTAAACTGGAAAATATGACTAATAAAGAAATCATATTGTAGCGAGGAAAATGGTGACTTACCTTGTCAAACTAAGCGACAGCATGTCGCATGTATCCTATATCGTGACTTTTGTTTATATAAGAAAACGTCATGAGAATTTTTGATCAAGCCTCAAGCAATCACTAACATCTAAACAGGTGCCACATGTGGCCAGTGAATTGGCTCTACAACTTGTTACACAGCATGAAGGAGGATTTCTTGAGACATGCAACTGCTGGGTTGAATTTTATCCCCTCATAAAATACTATTAATAACTATTTCAGATTCATGATGGTTTGATGGCTCAGTGACCAGACAGGCAGTTATAAAATGAATAGAAAAAAAAAATGTAACTTTTCTGTGATCTGTGTGGAATCAAGAAGATTGAATGTGTTCTTCCCTTGAGATTAACCAGCAGGTCATTTGCTGTTTATCAGCAGCTAAGTACAGAGCAAAAAGCAAATGCCAAACAGATAAAAACAAACCCTGTGGATTGCCTTTGCATCAGATTGTTTCCTAGCCTACAAGCAGTTCATGGAGCAGCAGTTGTGCTTAGATGTGCCTGTTGACATGTTTCTAGCCAAGTAGTAGCATGACTATTTGGTGGAATATTCAAGCAAGGACTTGCTTGAATATTCCACCAAATAGTCATGCCAAGAGAGTTGTGAATGAGAAGCTACCTGTCTTAGACATCCATGTGAATAGAATCAAGAGTAGTACTAGTGGACACCAGTTGTTCAGTCACTCACAAGTAAGTCACTGTTAATCCTAGTGGGAGAAGGTGGTAGATGTACTAACCATAAACAGTAACCCCCTCAAAGCTGGAAACATCATGATTGACATGGACAATATAGCTCCCCTTAACATCAAGGTCTTAGTAGTGGATGGATAGCTATTGGGTTTTGACCTGTTGCTTGGGTTCGACACTTAAAAAGCTGGGCATACTACAAATAATGTAGTTTGGCAGTGTATGGTTCCCCAAGTATGGGATGACTTGTCACACTGCCATTAAAATAGAACCTCATTTCTGTGGCAAAATGACGAAAACAAGATATGGGTTGCATCATGGAAGTGGTCAAATACTGGTGAATTTGTAGAACAGGATGCACGAATAACCAATACCAAAAGGTATCAAGGAGGAATACAACTGTGAGCTGCAGACATGGTTGGATAATGGTTGGTTGTAGCCTTATCCTAAAAAGGAACTTGGTCCCCCAAGTGGTCTAATCCTGTTGATGCAGGTGCAGAAGAATAAAAATAAAGTGTGGTCAGTGTTAGGCTATTAGGAACTAAATGAGTGTTTAGATGCACACACGGCCAGTGCTGATGTGTGTATGTGCACAGAAACTGAGGGAGTGGTGCCAAAAAGGACCTGATATCGCTATCCTTAACCTATGGCCTACAAAAGCCTATCCACAAGTCACTTTGGCCCTTTCAAATGGTAATCCTCAAGGGGCAAAGATATTGTCTGACATGAATGGAGTTCAGGTAGAATGTTGCATAATGAAAGCCATTGTGGACACTGCACTATTGGAAAATGAGTCAGTCCAATGGGCAACCTCATCATTACAGTGACAAGAGTAGGACTTCTGCAGACCTCATGAAAGAGCACTTAGCTACAAGGATCCAGAGCGGTTATGGGATGGTACTCATTTCTGGGCTTGCATGTTGAAGGGGAAAACAACTCACTCAATTGGAGGTGTGGAAATGACATTCCATCAGTTCCTGAGGTCATGATGGAACGCAATGGCTCACAGTGTGGAAACCTGGTGGGTCACTTTCCTGTGTGTGATTGGCTCCATGTTGCTGCATAATTTTTTAAATGCAGAAAAGTGTTGATTATGTCTGGCTGGGACAACGAAGTGGCTGATGCTCTCCTTAAGAACATGATTGGAGATATAGCGGCAAGAATACACCTGAATAACCCTGCACACAGTAAGTGGTGCACAAACAAATTTATGATGTGTGGGTCAATGCAAGTTCTCTTGCCACAGGGGTTTCATTGGAAGTTGATGGAAACATTGTAGAGAATGGATGTTGGCTGCAGCCTATGAATGACAAACTGATCCAAGAGTACAAGTTATTGATCACCGCAACTTTAGTGACGTCAAGTCAGAATTCAGCAGATAAGCTCACAAGAGTACTGCAACAATGGTATGATCTAGAAGGAGGTTGATCCAGCACAGCCTATATGCACTTTGATGGTGAACAAAATCTCTCTGGACCAGTTAAGTGCCATACATTGCCAGAGTGGACATCCTAAAATGTACAGAATGCCAATTGAATGACCTAGCTTCAAGTTATTCGCCACAACTGACTGGAATCTGAACCTACTTGGGAATGGTTATCACCCATTATGGTGGACAACACTACTTTACATTGATTGACTGCAGCTCAAGTCGATTTGCAATATGGCAATGTCTGTCTCAGCAAGACTCAAGATATATCACCTGACAGGTGGAAACCATTTTTTGAATGAGGACACCATCAGAAATCCTAACCAACAATGAGACTGCATTTAGCTGTAAGCCCATTAAAGATTTCTTAGATGACTGAGGAGTCCAATTTCGTTTCCATTGTGCAGATGTTCCTGCAGGAAACAGCATAGTGGAAAGATTTTATTGGAGCATAAAGAGAATTGAATCAAGAAAGCAATGGCCAATAATGGAGGCAGTGTACTAGCATAATATCACACCGAAGAATGACATATTATCCACTACTGTGCCCACCAATAGGATTTACCATTACCAATTTAGTGTGAAGTGAATTAGTACAACATTACCACCTGATTGTTGTAAGGATCACTTCATATACAGAGTTGGGAACAGAGTGTTGGTGAAAGCTCCACACAGCCAGTGTACCTCCAGGTATCAAGTGGGTTGCATGACGGACATTGTTAATCCACAAACAACAATGATTGATGTGATGCCTCAGCATGTAAAAAATCTTCCCCTTTTCATAGACTCTGGTATGTTGATGTACGACTCCAATGGCAATTTATCATCTGAAAGTGATTCCATAATTGATCTCTATGAATCCGATGCTTCCACAGACATGGAGATTCTGGAAACTCCGGATACACCTGATAACTCCTCAGGAGATGACTCGCTGTTACACAGAATGGAGAAGCCCCAGCGATAAAAAAAACCTACTCTAAGTTGTTTGACTTGTGATCATGAAATCGGGGGAGTGTAGCAAAGAAAATGCTGACTTACCTCATCGAACCAAGCAACAATGTGTCACATGTATCCTATGTCGTAAAAGAAATAAACAGTGCACATGACTTGTTTATATATGAAAACATCATGAAAATTTTTTGGTCACACCTAAATCACTGACTTCTTGACCTAGATATAAACAGGTGCCACATGTGGCTGGTGAATTGGCTCTACAGGTTATTACACGGCATGAAGGAGGATTTCTTGAATTGTGCAACTTCTGGATTGAATTTTATTCCCTCATAAAAATTCTACTACACACATATATTATTTAAAAAAAGGAAAGAAAAGAAAGAGACTTAACAATATATCACATGGGAACAAATAATGTAAAAAGACAGATAGCAAGGGAATCACAACCCCAAAGCAATACAACCTGTTTGTGATATCCAATAATGTAAACCCAACTACAGAACTAAATGAAGCTCACATGAAAACATGTTTTAAATAAAAAGAACATTGTCTTCAGATTGAGTTTATTTTGGTCAATGTAAAAATCATCTAACAGAAAAAAAAGATGGAGCTTTTAAAATGTAGATCACAGACCACCAAATAAAGCAGAATTGTTCTTCATCAGATAAAACATAAGTTTGAAAACTGATCAGACAAAACATTGAGAAAAACAAGATGGTTTAAAAATGTACATATTAACAACTATCTTAAAATTGCAGACAATATCAATAAGTATCCTTTTGGTGGTGTTATGTACATTTTTTGTTAAATGAGAAAAAAAACAATACTACATTAAGCAGAGTTAGATTTTTATGACAAATCAGCAATATGCAAGGAGGTATATGTATTGGCAGAAGTAAGATTCAGAAAAGTTATTAAAACAAGAAAGATGTCAGATATGCAAGGCAAATAAATGAATGAAAAAAGTGAACTTACTTGTAAAGCCACTGTTGGCAAAAAGTGGCCAATAACAAAAAGAAAAGGCAAAATGTAAAGATGATTTTCGAATTTAAATTCTGAAAAGATAAAAACTTCAAATGATTATTTCAGAAGTAAATTTGATTTCATTTTTGATTTATTAGACTAAATATTATGAATTTTTGTTCATATTTGCACTGAAGTAATATCATTTCACAATTATTTTTAATGTATGCTATTGCGAGCACATGGTCAAATGTTTAGAACATTTGCTTTATGACCATGAGACCTGGGTTTGAATCTCACTATAGTCAGTTTGTCAGCAAAATGACTTCTTCATGTCATTAGCCTGGGAAGGTGATTCAAGTGTGTGGCACTATTGGAAAGTGCCTGAAAACCTTACCCTGGGTTAAACCAAAATTTGTGAATCAAATTGGGTAGACAGAATTGTTTGTCAATGGTTGTGCTAGCAAAGTCACAAGTCATCATGACAGAGTTTAAGCACACTGGCCTTGTTCAAACTGTTGAGCATGCCAGATGATGTATTGTCTCCCAGAAACTGTAAATAAGTTACATTCAGCATAATTGTAGTATAAACCACAAGTGGGATTTGTGGGTGTTGCACAAAAAGTAATGTATCAGAACAGGCATGGCTAGCTGCCCTAGCAGACGGTATATTTAGAAACAAGCATCCAGGCATTATATACATGTGTGTAATGTGCATGCATATATAAAGTAATGTCAATAATTAATTGTCAGACTCGAATTCATACCAAGAAGAGTGACTATAGACTAACTTAATCAACTCAGCCATTGGTTATCTGCAAGTTATTGTTTCAGATTTACAGAAAGATGATTAACTACAAGAGAGTGCTAAAGGTTTTTTGGCTCAATCCTCTTCACAAAATTGGTTGAATCATGGACATTTTTAGTACCCCTTTGTACAGTCTGGATTTAGATCCCACTCTATGGATATAATGATATAAATAAAATAATTCAATATTTAAGAAACATTTCAATATTTTAACTTGGAAAAAAATTATGTTTGGAATTATAGTAAGAGGAAATAGAGTCCTAATACTTGTTTGATATGAAAATTTTAAAACACTGATTCTAAAAAAAAAAAAAAAAAATCTTCAAAATGATAGAGCTAAAATTCAAAAATTATATCCAATAAATTAATTTTCAATTTTATTTATATTTTGAAATACTTTTGTGAATTATACAAATTAAACAGGTAGGATAACTATACAATGGCTAAAAAAGGCACTTCAAATATGATTTGTACAGGTTTTACAATACATTCAACATAAAAAATACAAAATTAATGTGCCTTTTGAGATTTAAGAATTAACAGCAATTATGTATTACTAAAGTGCTGTAACATTGCTATTTCTAACCAGATATTCCTGATTTAGTCATTATTGTCTTGTTTCCTATCTACATCATATAGCACAAGAAATTCATAGAAAGCATGTACAAAATTTTCATGGAAAAACCTAAAGAATACAGGGAGAATATCAGAACACAAGTTGTTATTAGACTAGCACTTGGTGCTATTTTTAAATGATTGTAGTTGAGAAGCTCAAGTTTACTGAGTCAAGATACTCATGGTCAGGAAGATAGCAGAAGAGAAATTCATCATATATGTTAAAAAAGAATTCAAAAGTCAAGTATGCATATTACCATGTTAACAACCATTCCATAGAAATAACCTAAAGGATTGTTTTGTGAAGAAATTCTACCTTAGATATGACTTAACCTATCTTGTAAGGTAGCTTGATGATTGGTTGTTTTTGTTTAGTGGCATATCAACCTCTATGAGTTATTCAATGTCAAAATATAAATATTTTATATGAAATTTTATGGCTTCAACTACAAATATTTTGTACATAATTTATACTTTCAGGACAAATGTATTTTTTTTTTTTTTTTTTTTTAGATATGCTTAGTTTGTTGTTCGTAATTTTTTTTTCATAAAAATGTCTTGCTGGTATTTTTTTTATAAAAGATTTATTGCTGGTCATTTTGCTTTAAAAAATGTACTCTAAAAATGTTATTTTTATATTTTCCTAGTGTTTTGATTTTTGTTTGGTGGTTCAATAGCTGGGACCCTAACAGGTGCTACTAACCCGGGTCAGAATGGAGCTGGGAACAACAGCAATTAAAAGGTAGTTCTACATTCCTCAAAACCTCCAATATCCCAGAGGCCTTGCTGCCAGATGTAGTTTATCATCATACCCAGGGTAATATAGTTTGAGCCACTATTTTAAAATGTCTTATTATAGTCAAATGCAAACATTTTACATTTCAAATGTCCCATTATCTATTCCAAACCATAACTCCCTTTAACATTAGTTTTAGCTGGATCTGGAAAATCATTTTTGTCCAAGGAGCATTTAATTTTCAATATCCAACCATTCAATTTTTAGTATTAACTCTATTTAAACCTGGACAAGCCTAGCATCTGAATACACCATGTCATAGATATTTTAGGATGTTCATGTATCTAAGTCTACTCTCCTAATACTCATTTGATGTAACTTGAATGTTGCATTGAATCAGTCATCCCACAGTGATCAAAGTTCACATCACACTTTTTGGAGATTCATTTTGAAACTTATTGATGATGCAAAGCTTGCTGATAAAGTCTTAATATGCAGCTTCAGAGTTATTAGTACCTGACACACAAGGATGGCAATGCAATCATCTGATAAAAACTACCTGTTTCAAAGGAATCAATAAGCTGAAAACTTTGTAACACTCCTTATAGTCATTAGGCACATAAAGCCCAATCAAACAAAATAAACCTACTAGATATAAATAAAAAAACAGAAGCACACATCACTATCAGGGAACCGTTTAGTAGGCCCTCAAAATCCCTTAGAGCAGGCATGTCAAACACGCGGCCTGCGAGCTGCATGCGGCCCATTTCAAGTAGATTTGCGGCCCACACAGACAATTTTAAACAAAAATAAATTAGAAATTTCCAATTTGTCAATCACTCATTACATATACGCACATTGCAAAAGGAGAGAATCGGATGGTGCAAGAGATACATAGGTCAAGGACAAGATGAGAGGAACTGAGACGGAGTTTCAAAAAAGATTGTGATTTTTCATCTTTTGAAGATCCATTTGCATTATTCTCTGCGCCGTTTACTTTTGATGTTGCTAAGGCAGAGGTAAACATTCAAATGGAACTTTTAGAAATGCAGTCAGATTTTTTACTTAGAGCAAAGTATTTTGAGGTAGGAATACCCGATTTCTTTTCATACCTTCCAGAAAAGTTTACAAATCTTAGAAAGTTTGCAACACGAATCTTAGCAATGTTTGGTCCCACCTATTTGTGTGAGCAATTATTTTCCTTTATGAAATCAACAAAAACTTCTCAGAGAACTAGGCTGACTGATTATCACTTATCATCTCTTATAAAAGTCGGAACTGCACAGAAATTTCAGCCAGATATACCAAAGATTGTCAAGAACAAGTGGTGTCAAACCTCAGGACAAAACATGAAAAGTTAGAATGATCAATAATAAATGTTTATTTTGAACTATTATGATTTATGTGCAATTCATTTGCTGTTCATTCAAATACATGTGAGCCATGTATGTTGCCCTATAAATTTTTGTTATATCGAAATAAAGAACAGATTTATATCTAATGCTAAATTTTTTAGTTATATTCTTTTGTTTAACTACATGTACTTTGTACTTGTATTCATGATAACCAAACCATTGCATGTTTCTAAATTAAAAGGAAATGTTCTGCAATAATTTTTATTGAACAACCTTAAATAAAATGTAGGAGTGCGGCCCTCATGAGAACACAAACTGTCTCCTTTGGCCCTCATGGGACTCTGAGTTTCACATGCCTGCCTTAGAGTGATTATCAAAATATAGTGAGAATTGGTGAAATTTTTTCAATAATATATTTCCATAGTCACTTACAATTAGATAAATTTCTTGTATATAACAGATTTTCACACTGAGACATTATAGGTTTTAGCATCAAGCACTTTTACACCTGAAGTAAAATCTCAAAAAAGTGACATTTTCAGTCACTGTTGTAGACAAGATAAAAAAAAAAAATTAAAAAAAGACACAATGGTGGTAGCAGCTTCATGCAATTAGGGTATTTTGCTGCTAAAGATACTGTTTCTCTTTACCCAAAAAATGAAAGTGAAAATGAAGACAATGTGAAAACTCTTGAGGAAAACCAAAAATATTCAACAAAATAAAATTTGGCAAACTTGGACCTTCATGCCTGCAAAAAAATGGAATGGCAAAAATGGGTGATATTTTTCCTTGACACCATTATTGTTTTAACTAGCTTCACTTCTCAATAGTGTTTATTGTTTTAAAAAGTGATGATTAGAATTGTAATAAAACTTAAACATATGATGAAAGTGAACTCATACATTTTTTTTTGTACTTGAAAATTTACAACAAAAATATTAAACACTATTAGATGGTTTATTTACAAGAATAATTTTATATTTACAACACACACACACACATTATATATATAACATTTTATAAAGAAATGAATATGAAAATTTTTATTCATAAATTTATAAACATTTACTAAATTATTAAAATATGTGAGCCAACTATAAGGAAATCCTTATTTACTATTTTATAAAGTTCAAATTTTCAGCCATTCCAATAAAAAATATAATAAATAATGTAAAGAAACAATTTAATAAATGAATAGTATTTTTGTTGTCAATTCTCAAGTACAAAGAAAATGTATAAATATACTTTCAAATGTTTAGATTTTATTAAAATTTCAATCATTGCTTTTAAAAGCAATAAACATTGCCAAGTGAAGGTAGTACAAAATAATAGTGGTGTCAAAGGGAAAAACATCCTTTTGACACTTTTTTGGGAAGGCATAAAGGTCCAAGTTTGGCTAAAATTTATTTTTAAATGAGATAATGACCCAAAGCACAATTGTGGCAAGGACAGAGGTCCAAATCTAATCACATGGAAATTATGTGAAGGAAGTTGGTGTGTAAGATGCAGCCTAGAAAACCAGCAAATCTCACTTATTCAATAAAATTTTTCAAGAAAGAATAGTGAAAAGGTGATTGTAAGTAGCAAAAATTGTTTAGTGGTTGTGTAGATAACAAAAAGAAACAAACAAATATTAGATATGGATATTTTTTACTATCCTTCTCACTATTTCATTTTTACCATTTTTATATTGTAAAACTGAAGCAAATATTTAACATAGACAAAGTTATCCAACCAATTTGTATATTTCACAAAAGTATTTCAAAATATAAAATCATTTTGTTGTAAACTTTTGATCTCAAGTGCAAGTATAAATTTAGCAATATTTTCTAAGTCTATGGTTTACATTCAAAGTCTTTTCTCTTTAAATGCTTATCCACATATTTTCTCTTGTAATTTTTTTTCTTTTAAGAACTTTTAAAGAAAATTTTAAAATCTTGATTACTTATAACAAATCCAAGTTTTATCTGAATACAACATTAATTAATACTCCAAAATGTTAATAAATCACTGATTTTTTTCACCGAAAAATGTCACTTACCAATATTAGAATGCTGATAACAATGATATTAAGGGGAACCCGGAAGAAATTCATGATTGTAGCTCGAGCTGAAAAAAAAAATATAATATTCACATAACTCCCACATATTTGGTCATTATTTTGAAAAGAGAGTGATGGCTTTGTTCTTAACTATAAAGCTTTTCGTTTCAATGACACAAAAATTAATTTTCCATTAGAAAAGAAAAGATGTAGTAATACAATAAACAGTATTATCTGTTTCTTTATTGTAAGTTCTAATTTGAAAAATGCTTGAAAAGCTCAGATAGTAAATTCTACAAGAACTCCAAAATGGATTTGAGATATGGGGCTCCATTTATTTTTAAGAATAAGCATTAAAATAAGTTTTTACAACAAACCTGGAATTGAAACAAGATTGTAAAAATTTATTTATATCAAATATTAATTAAAATTTTGAAAACAAATGTAAAATAAATGGATGAAGTCCTAAAGAAATGAAGAATCTTTTACTCAGTTGGAGATAAAAATGAATGCCATGAAAGTAAAGAAATTGTCTTCTATTGTTGACTATTTGACAATCAGCTGAAAATATACAATTCACAATCTTGCAGTTACACTGTAGATATTATTGTAAACATAGTGGCTTATAGTCATAACTGGAAGCAAGGTGACATTTATTCTTTACCATCTCATCACATAATTTTGACTAAAAAAAAATATCAGAGATTTTTATTCTACTCCAAAAATGCAGATAAAACTTCTGACTGATGAGTCAAAACATTATGATTATTTGCTTGATCCTCCATGTACCCACTAAACAGCTGTTACCCAATCAGGCATGAACTCCATAAGCCTTAGATGATATATATATATATATATATATATATATATATATATATGGGGTGTGGGGGTTGTCTGTGTGCATGCATTGTATTCAATAAGTTTATAGATATGAAAATCTGTATACATATAATGTTTTACTAATTATATATATATATATATATATATATATATATATATAGCATGTACATAGTAATCTAGAATGCATCGTGACAGGCAGTTTCATGCGTTAAGCGATCAACAGAAGATGGTCTGATGATCATTGTTCAGGATATTGTGCATTCTTCTCCATAGATATAGCAAATGTTAAGCTACACAGACATATATATATATATATATATATATATATTGTGTGACTTGAGTGTTGTTTATAATATGGTAAATAAATAAGTATAATACTATAGTTATTGATATTTATTTTTTTTAATTTCAGATATATAAAGATTGGTGTGGATCATAAGAAAGAAACAATCTCATAAGAAAAAAAAATAACATAATTGAGTGATGGGAACGCAATATTGGAAAATGTAAAAAGATGAACAGAGATAATAAAAAAAATGAAGAGAGAAATTGAAAATATTGACAAGAAAAAACTGGCTTTAAGAATGTCCCAAAAATAGATTAAAAAAAAAATTAAAAAGGTAACAAGCAAGAAAAGCTGATTTACTAACAAGAAAATATTTGACAAAACTTGTATTATGAATCTAAATAGGAAAAAATGCAGAATATTAAGAACATTGGCAAAAGATATGAAAATAGCCAAATTATCACACTTAAGTAAATGTAAAGCAAAATGTTTTAATTTAGGTAAAGTACATTCTATGTTCTATTCTATGTAAGATCCAAATCTTCTATTTTACTATTTATTATTAATAGTAAATAAATATACATTAAAACTGATTTTAGCTATTAATAACCAACAATGTCACAATGGACAGAGTGAAAAATTCAAGAATTTCAAAACAAAGTTAATTTTAATTAAAAATTGAAATGAAATATCGTTTAAAAATTAATCTTTCAGCTCTTATTTTTTTGAGAACACAATAATAATTTCCCTTCTTGTTGCCATATTTCACAAATAAACTTTCTCAAAAGATTTTGCAAGACAAGAAATATTTACACAAAATTTTATCTAACTACTACTGAGTTGAAATTGTTTTTCATTTATTTTTTATCAACTGTCAATTATTAGTTTTTTTTTTTAAATCAGTATATTCAACTTTCTGTAGTTTTAGTGTTAAAATAATAAAATACAGTTAAGAAATGTCTCACAAATGAAGCCCTTTGTCAACCTTAATCCATAATCTATAAATAAATAAAATTTGTCTAAAATTTGTATGTCTTATATTTTTTATTTAAACATTTCCTCTAACTGATTGTGATAAAATTTTGTGAACAATGAATCTGTCCAAAATAAAATCAACTAAGTGTAACTGTTGCTATTTTGTTGGGAGAGGGGGGTAGTCACAATCCTCACCCCAGGCACTACCAGACTTCTGCACGTCACTGTGAATAAGGGAGTAAAAAAAAAAAAAAAAAAAAAATCAATATTAGAACAAAAATGATTTCTGGGGAAGCAATAAAACTGCAGCAAAAGTCAACAAAATCAATAAATGAAAGTCTGTTAGAATGTCAATGAGACAATATTAACATGTAAGATAATAAAATAATTTATAAGTATATGAAATATTGTGTTAAATATGTTTCTATGATCTATATCCTTCAGATTTAATTTCTGTGGGAAAAATGTCAACATTTTTAATCAATCTAGATATAAGCTGAAACTCATGATATATTGCTCATATAAATATCTCGAAGGTGGGGAGTTACTAACATCAAATGAAAATATTGATTTTCATAATAAAATTGGACATAGTATATTGCTTTCATAAATTTAAATGTTTTAAACTCTGCTCTCAATTTACATTTCCAAAGTCATAAAAAATTGAGCATTAAAATGGAAGTATTGAATTACTGACTTTGAACCAGATTGCACTCTAAAAGCTACAATGGATAGGTTTTGTTTTGTAGCCTTTGCCAGGAGGAACAATCGGCCATAGTAATGTTTCCAAATCCTTGTCAAATAAAAAAAATTCAAAATGTTGACTGGATGTGCAAAAAAATTACTTATTAGCAAACATGGCACCTGATCGAAGAATACATCTGGGTTTGTGAAGTAAATTTTTGTAATATTCAAAGCTGAACTTTAGGCATTATCAATGTAAAATATATATATATATATATGATCTGGTCAAAGAGAAATTTAAAAAAAACTTAAATCACAGTGAACTAGACATATATTTTATATTAGCTCTGTTTTTAGTGAGCACTTTTTAACAGCTGATACTTTTCCTTCTAAAAAGATAAATCAAAGTTTATTGACTTTAGGCTGATATGTATTCTTTTTCCAAGTAAAACTTCACACTTTTTCTTTAAAAATAGAAATATATACAATTCTAATTGTTTTGCTGCTACCACAAAGTTTTCCAATGGATACATTTTTTTTTTTATCAAAATGTATCTTCTACATCAAAATCGTGTAAAAACCCCTGCATTAAATAATTTTTTTTTTTGGTACAAAAAATTTTCTATGGCTTTAAAAACATATTTTGAATGCCTGTTTTTAAAGTCATAATGACTTGCTTCCTTTACTTACTAAAAAAAAAAAAAAAAAATAAATAATATCTTACTGTTTTCTGGAACATATTTTCCTCGCATTGTACTTAATGATGGCCAGAAAATTCCAACACAAACTTCAAAAAGAAGGAAAGCTACAAATATTATGCACTGGTTCTGAAAAAAAAAAAAAAAAAAAAAAAGAAAATAAATTTAATCACCCATGAATCATAACACAAGTCTGGGACTAAGTGTAATATTTGCTATTTAGTAGTAACAATTTATCTAGTCACATAGATCTGGTTGCTTGTTAAGTTGGTGATAATAAAATACAATAAAATTAGCACTAAGCTAAATTGAAAATAGACTGAATAATATTAGAGTGGAAAGAAAGTCTTTAAGTATACATTTTCAATACTTATGATAAAATAACTGTTAATTTTTATGTGTTAATGTTTAGTTTGTATTTTTTTTTTTTTACTTTTGCAGATTACTTAGTATTAGAGTGGGTAAATTTTGTAAAATGAGTTTAGATAAGACCTATATCAGACACTGTATGAATTCAAAAGAAAACGTTTTCAGCAAGAAATATTCATTCTGTTATGGAAATTAAGTTTTCAGTGTCCAAATATTCAACAATGATTTGACCAGTTTCAAGTGGAAAATTATTCTCTCAAAGATTCCCCTCAATCTGGACAACCAAGTTCTGTCAATATAACTTTTGCAAACTAGTTGAAAAATCCTAAGTAATCTGCATAAGAATTAACAAAATGGTTCAATATAATTCACATTTCAATCATAAGATTTCTTCATGACTTTGGGAAAGTGTCTAAATGTTGTCATTAAGCCCTTTGCAGCTTAATCAGAGAGTTCTGTTCATCACTGACATGACAAGTCGGTGACTGGCTCAAAAATCCTAAGTTTGTGCAGGAATGTATTAAGTAACCCAAGCCCTGATCTATTTCCAGGTCATTTGGAGTTCAACTGCACGATGTTGTAGAGAGTACATGACATGACTTATATCCAATCAGGTTCCAGAAACCAATTATTTAATTTTGGAGCTGTGTTGGTAGAGAATTGTAAAATTTTTTCGTATCTACTGAATTTAGTAAAATTTATTTGTAGGTATCTCTTGTTTGTGTTTCACTTATTGGTCATAAATTTAGGAGTTTATATCTTATACATGAAGCAACTGCTTCAAATGAATGCTAAACCCTGATCACTTATGCTGCTGGACAGAACTGGGAGGTTCTGTAATTCTGCCAGATATGTTGACAGACTCACCATGTCAAAGTTGCCTTGTGACAAATTGCACATATGCCATGAATGAATTCATCACAAACACTGTATACAAGGTGGTTTTTATTTGATTAAAAAAAAAAAAAAAATGTCATGTTTCTAATTCCAGTTCATTTATATAAAAATTAAGACAAAAATTTTCAGTTGATCAATCGCAAGCATCTTGGGTGTGTACATCAACAGCTATATTTGAGTGAAAGCAGTTTGTATTTTTTTCTATTTTTTTTGTTCGTAAAAGGTTGGTATTTTGGCAACCATTGGCATTGACCGCTGAATGAATCCTTCCACTTAGAAACTATTTAGGTGAATAATAGACACAACCTGTGGTCATTGACAAGGAAGGTGACTATTTTCATTGCTACAAGACAAGTCAAATCAGTATATTTGTCACCATTTTCTTCAGGTCTTACAGTTATCAATAGTAAAATGATTTGTGGACAATATAAGGGGAAGTGTCAGCCAATTTAATCAATATTATAAATTCAGTTCATGAATGAGAAGAAATGAGGCTAGCAAAGTAATTAACCTTAGTAATAAGCTGAGAAAAGAGAATGTTTAATTCTGTGATGTCTTGTGAACCCAAAAGAATCCTGGGACAAGTAATTATCTTGAATAAGTTTGTCTGAAAGAAACCCTCAAGCAAACCAAGTTTTTCTTGCAAATACAAGATAACTCACTCACTTCAACTATAATTCTACAAGGCAGTACCAACTTCTGAAAGTTTTCCACAAATGAGAATTATTCTGCAACTCCTTACATTCAACAAATGGACACCCACTATCCCTCTCCCACAGATGAAACATCTCAAGCCTATTACTATTCTATTATTATTTCCTTGATAAATATTCAGCCGAGCGGCATTCCTTTGTTTTACCAGTTCAGATCTTTACAAATATGACCCACCATGCCATATACACAGTCAAATCATCCTCATTCCCTTCATATTCCATTGGTAAGTAGGAAGTTCCACTTAAACAACTTTTTCTCTAGGACTACTATTTTTTGGAACAAACTCCTCAGAGGATGCTTCCTCAATCACTACAATTGTAACCTTTTCAAATGTAGAGTCAACCATTATCTATCCTACATATCCTCATAATCTGCACTTACTTCCTCCTCTTACAACAACCTCATTCTACCTTGAATGGCTCTTGAGCCTTGGAGTGGATGAACATTAGTATAAAAAAACAAAAAAAAAAAACAAACAAACTCAGAACAGTTCTACAAAATTTGAGGACTCTACATTCTCTCTTCAAAAGCCTGGCTGAGCATCTTATGAAATTCACTGACACTTTACTCCTAACAAGGACTTTATAACTTCTGCTAACACTCTAAGTTCCCATTTTCTTATGTGTATTTTTCTCTACCTAACTTAATTTCTTTAGTGGCTCAAAAGAATATTTTGAGAAACTCCACTACACCTACATTCCTTCCTTTTCATATAAGAAATTATTGTAAATAAACAATTTCTTTCTGTTTCAGTTTCCTTTGCTATTGTCCATTTAAAGATGAGTGATTCATATGATTAATGTAAGCCTTCATTTGTCTTATCCTAATCAACCCAATTCTGAAATTTCCACTTGCAAATTTTCTTTCTTAATGTTTCCTCATTAACATTATCCATAAATGTGGTGTTTATATTCCTTCACTGTTCTTGTTCCATTAGAGCCCAACTTCAACTCATACAAAGATAAATTGAAAAAAGTATAAATTGAAAGGCTTTTCATATGTGCCTAAAAATGTAGCACAACTTAATAGAATAGAATGAACATTTTCAGGAATAATCAGCAAAAAATATCTTTTTAAAAATACGATTTAGTCATCATTTACAAAAACAGTGAGACTGTCAAGTTTAAAAAAAAAAGTCAGCTGTTACTTGATAGAAAAAAGGTCTCAAGAGAAAAGAGGATATAAAATGTTATATCCTTATGTTTTTCTCTTCACCAGTTGTTAGGTTGGTGAATCCTGGCTATCTACAGTTAAATCAGTAACACTTTTTATACTGTTGATAAGTTAACTGTTTAACTATTGTATCTATAACAGCTGTTCTATTTTGTGAGTGGTTAGCTCTTTGGGTGTAACATGTTAATTCCTTCCAGTAAACATGTCTGTACATTCAAAGGCTTTTTTTACATGTTGTATTTATTTAATAGTAAGACATAGCAGTGGTGTAGTGAATTTTTATACTTGATACTTCATTGAGTTTATCATCAATCACCTTATCTTGGTTCTCAATGCATGACTTGCAAATCCTCATAAAGGGATCAGATATTCCATGTACAATACCATTGTTATATACTTCTGACTGCATAAGGTAGGAGGAGGAAAATGTCAGCAGTAGTAATAACTATTGAGAAGTAACACAACTATCCAACACAAATCTTTGCTCAAATAAAAACCAGTCAAATGAAGGAGTTTTTCTGGTCAATTTATTATTTAATAATAAAGATATTAAAGTTAATTTTAAAGACATGGAAAAAACGAAATATTAGCAAAGAATAATAACTGAAATTTGTGAATCAGATTTTGATGTGAATTCTTACAGAGGTTGATCATTGTTAAGGATATAATGACTCCTAAGATTACAGACCAAAAACAGAAGACTGTAAAATTCCTTTTAAAGCTCCTGTCAGAATTCGTAATAACACAAGTAAAATAGTTTTTATGATAAAGCAAATAAAAAGTATACAAAAATATTTAATAAATGTTGTATTTAATATTAAGAATGTATTAATAATGTTATATAACAATAATTACAAACTAATGGTGTTAATAGATCAATAATATTAAAAATGCAATGTCATTACAACTATTATTAAAAAACTGAAGCATCTAAAAATTAGAGACAGCAGTACACTGGATGGTTTTACTTTTCCCCACTTGTAGAAATGGAATCATTTGGATAACATATGACATAATAGGTAAAGAGGCAATGTGACAGCTATAGGTTGCAGATATAATTTAATACCATTGGACAACAGAATGATTGTTGGTACCAGAGATTCAATTCAAGCAAAAGCTAAAAGTTACTTGCTATAAAGACAACTGTCTTTAATTTTGGAACTTCAGTTTAATATTTATATCTGATCAGTTTTGGTAAAAATGCATCAAAATAGAAGAGCATGAATAAATAAAGTTGATTAATAAAAATTATATTTGCCTATTTACATAAGCAGATAAATAAAATTATCAGTAAAAGAAAAAAAAATAGTCAGATGTTATATAATTATGAAATATACCAAAAGTGAACAAAAGGTTTGGTCTACTGGAAATTAAAAATAAAAACTAAAAATAAACAGAACCTGTTTAAGTTATGGAAGTCATAAATAACAGTAACAATACTCAGAAGTGAAAGAAAGGAAAATGGGAATGAATCACAAAAATCAATATGGTTTGTTTTACACACACAAAAAAAAAGAAAAAGAAATGAAAGCAATACTAAAAATATCAGCAGACTTTGGTTTTTTTATTTTATTTGTTTGACAAAAAGCAAACAAAAATACTTTTTGTAAATAGGTAGACCTGTCACAACAGACAATTGAGTAAAATAGCAAAGAATTTATATTAAACTTTGCTTGTATACCTGGATGGAATAGTTTTCACATGACTAAATCATTACACCTTTTACTGGACCAAGGATTTATTTTCATTGTTTAGTTTTTTTTATATTACTTTTTATCTGAACACAATTTTATGCAATTATTGCTTTAAGCACACAAAAAAAAATAATAGTAGAATGGTTTTAAAAAAATAAAGAATATTTTCTTTCTTTTTTTTTAACCTGGGAAAAATTGATAAGTAGTAGAGATGATTATTCATGAGAGCTTTTTTTCAAATTGGCTTATTTTTTTTTTTGTTATATGTTATGACATTTTGAATAGTAACTTCTAAATGATGTAACTTTTAGTACATAACCAAAAACATATCAAGAATTATATAATTATGGGTCCCATAATGCATTAGGGTCACCACATAAACAGTAGCTGTAGCAACAGTAGTTTGTCTTGAGCAAGATAACATAATGGTCTCTAGGCTGGTTTGAATTCAGAGTTTTCCTTCTACACTAGTTGCCAGCTAAAGTTATAGGGCCTACTCTGTTCTGCTATTCCCCATTGCTGGTGGGGAGAAGAGCTGGATTCTTAACTTCCCCAAGGATATTTGTGTAAAAATGAATGTAACAAGCACAACTGGAATTTGAACTCAGCTCTTTGATTTTTCATTTTAACAAAGTTATCCATTACACCACCAAACACAATATATATATATATATATATATATATATATATATATATATATATATATATATATATAAAAAGCAGAACAGCTATGTACTGATAAATTAAATAAATCTCAAATTGTGTTCAAAGTTATAATGCATAATAATCCAGTTTTTTTCAATGCCATTTCTAAATGTCTACTTACTAACTCCTGTAGACACTTTATGAAATATTTGTGCATGTCATGAGTTGTAATTCAAACAAACTTTCTGACTTCTATAGTACTGTTAAGTGCTTATTCAGTTTAAGGATACCAATATCAAGAAAAACAAACAATCAATTCTTATTAATGCTTTTATTTAACTACTGTATTATTGACAGTAATAAAAAAAGAAGTTATAATCCAAGTAGCATTTAATTTTATATATTAATAGAAGTAGATAGATTTGCCTATCATCCAGTTCACAGTCATCCCTGATCTTTTGAACAGGAGTAGAGGTTTATCCCTTGTTTCCCCATTTAGAATTGGGTTTCTGGTTCCTTCTGAAGTCTACTTCAACTCTATACTTCTAATGTCTTTGCCTAAACTCTGGAATTTACTATAAATTTACTTCTCTTCTCTTAATAGGAGTAGATAGGTTTGCCCATCGTCCAGTCCACACTCCTCTCTGGTCTTTTGAATTGTAGTAGAGGTTTGTGCCTTGTTTCCTGTTTAGGATCAGGTTTCTTATTGCTTCTAAAGTCTTCTTATTCTCTTTCATTCCCAATAGCTCCTTGCATTTTAATGGCATTATAGCCTTGATTGGGGTGAATTTATTAAAATAAAATATTTATATAATTATAATTTCTGGGGAAATAATGTGATGATCACCATGAAAATTTTATTGACAAAATAAGGTTATGTTCTGTACTATCAACTATTTAAAGTGAGACTATAACCTGAATCCTTAATGTCTTTCCAAATGAACTCCAGTAAATCATAATTTGTTACTAGCTAGTGATAATAGTTAATACTTTTTTTTTTAACTAATCCTTATATTTTAGTATCTATTTTTTCTAGTTTTTCAATAATAGTGCTTCTATCAATGAATCCACCACAAAAAATGAATCTTAAGTGGCTGTAAATAAAAACAGAATTACCAGTTAATAGGCTGATATGCACATTGTGTAGCAATTATAGACATGGAAAATGAAATTGGTAAGTAGAGTTTATGTTCTAGCCTATTCTGCTGTATTCACTTCACACTAATACTCTTGATAAAGGCATGACTCCATTTCTTCTTGCTCTAGCTATGGGCTACTAGACTCTCTAGCCTTGGGTAGTAACCAGTCTAGAAGAACTACTCTGAATTCAGAAGCCATAAAGAAGGCCATCTTTCCTAACATAGCATAGCTAACAATAAAGCAATCTGTGGAGAGCCATGATCACCTAAATCCCAATGAGATATGGCACTTAAAATCAATGCATTTAAATCAAACAATCTCACTATATGTAATAATTGCGAGAGTAATTCAATTTATGATAAAAAAGTTTGTTTGTTCTTACCAATGGGAACATGACTGGCATCAAAAATGTCAATGCTGAGATTAAAAGAACTATTCTGGAAGAGAAAAAAAATTTAAATATGAAAAATCATACTCCAAAAATAACAATATCAATAATAAATCAGATTTAATGTAGTTCAACATGAAACAATAGTAAAATATATTCATTTATGAATATTAACAAACAAACTGCTTCCAGATATTTCCACTAGTTTACATCAAATACTTATAAACAATATACATATAGTAAACAAAGAGGTACAGAAAAGTTCTTAGCCCAACCACAAACAAAACATGCTATACCACATTCACCTTGCAGTTAAACTCATTGAGTACACCATTCCTCAAGTTTCTTTAACCCTTCTCCCAAAATTCTTGGGTTTGGTCATTGAAATACTGGTTCCAGTTCTGCTACTGTTATTACCTTTAAATCATTCAAAAATTTTTTTCCTTTTAAATTCTTTTTAAAGTTTTTGAAACAGGAAAAAATGTAGCAAGATCTAGTCTATGCAATCAAATCCCAAATTATCAAAAAATCCATTACTTTACCAATTTCTGTGAATAGGTACATTGTCTTGCTAAAAGAACACACCTTCCCGCATCATTTTTCCCTCAACGTCTCCTTTAATCAATGCATCAAGTTAGAATACTATTTACATTATTCGGACTATTGTCCTAATCTTTGTCACCATATTTATTACAATGCTTCGGCCGTTGTATGTTCTGGCCTCCTTCAGGTGCTTGGAATGTCAAACTGAACCCTTTATTTCGCTCACTGGGGTAGACTGTTCTAGTAGAACAAATATGAAAAGCCTTTCAATTTATACTTTTTTCAATTTATCTTTGTATGAGTTTTAGAACAGTCTACGCCAGTGAGTGAAATAAAGGGTTCAGTTCGACATTCCAACCACCTGAAGGAGGTCAGAACAAACAACAGCCGAAACATTGTAATAAATATGGCGACAAAGATGAAGACAATAGTCCGAATAATGTAAATAGTGTACATAATACCTCATCTCAGAAATATAGACAGATACTCAAGTTAGAATAGTATTCTGCATTAAATGTTTGACTCTTCTGAAAATTATCATCAAAATAGCTTGCTTATCCTCAAAATTGTGTTAATGATTTTCCTTGTGACTTTTTGGTTTGGAATTCCTTTGGCGATGGAGAACCCAAATGCTGCCACTATATGGACTGTTAGTCTCTGGATTATAATCTTTGGTGCAACCATTTTTCATGAGCAGTAAAAAGTCATTCCAAAAAACATTATCACAAGACCTCCAAAAATGCTGCAAAATCAACTTGGAGATGTTCACTCAAAATCATTTCTAGTCAACATTCAAACAATTGAGGCACCTACTTGGCTGACAGTTTCTGCATACCCCACTGCTCATGAATTATTAACCCAGCATATTCCAGGGTTAACTATAATGTTTTAATAATTCTTCTGGCTGAAACTTACTGATCAGGCAAAAATGGATCATGTCCTTAAGAAGTCCTCCCAAACCATACTATAAAATCTCCATGCTGAAAGTTGGTATATTATTTCTTCATAGTTGAGTATGAAGGGCACTTGTCACCCAATGTTTGCACTATACACTCCTTTGGAGTTTTCTTCTGCAGTTAAAGCATTGGATAGTCTAGAGTTCATCACTTTTTGACAACAAGGTTTGATTAGGGATCTGAAACAAATTTAAAAATAAGCACAAACATCCTACAAATTTGATAATATAAAAGAAAATTCTTTTCAGCTACAGTAACAAAATAATTCTCAAGTTTTGGGAAGTAGGCCAGGTTAAGAACTTTTCATCACTTCCTTGTACAACAGTAATTATAAATATAATTATTCTGATTCTTGACGCACTAATCATAAAATTAATAAATAAGTGGTATTTTGAATGTATTTAACAACTAATAAATACATTTAGTATAGTGAAGCATTTTGTTTGAATATTACTTCATGTATTAAATATTTAAAAATTTAAAAACAAGAAACTGAAGTGTGTTTTTTTTATTGATCAAAGCTATAAATATAATCAAAAGCACTAGATCCCAAAATGTTTGAACAATATTTACATTCATCAGATCCAGACATTTTCTCTTGAGTGCAAACAAAAAACACTAACTAAAAACTTAAATTAAAAACCTTCCATTAAATTAAAACCAATTTTTATTCAAACTTCAATTAATGAAAAACTGCTGTCTAAATACACATTATTAATGAATATGCATTTATATTGCTGACAAATTACAAAATCAACTTTGATAACCAAATTTGACAAGAAAATATAGTTGTAAAATTACAAGGACATCTATTTAAACTATACAGGCTACTGCTATAATGTAATTAAAGAACCATTCTAATCTAAATAACAACAGTGTCTCAGTGAGTTGGCTTTTGGTACATTTCATCCTAAGATTCATGATAGTCATTCTTCACATTATATTTGTCACAAGTGAGTAATACAAATATTCCTGTTTAACACCAAATTTATTGTCTAATTTTTTTTTAGCTAATTTAGGACAATTTTGATGTCTTGAATCCAAAAATCATATTGGTTTTACTGAGTCAACTTTTTCAGTTATGGCCACATGCATTTTTTTATGTTTTTGTTTACATTGTCATGTCCATTAAAATATCTAAATATGCAACATATTTCACACAATAAGATCAATTATATTAATTATAAACTTATTAATTTTAACCTATCAGAAGTATTTTCAGCCCAAAATAGCTACATAAATATTAAAACACATCTCCAAAATATTTATATTTATATATATAACATGCAATAAAGTGCTTACATCTCAGAACACACCAAGCATAGAACATGACTTTTTAGGGCCAATTAAAAATAAGCAAAATTATATAATTCAGAAGTCAATTTCTCAGGAATAATTGTATAAAAATCATGATCTTTGACCTCAATGACAGAGTCTATCAGATTCCACTAAAGGCCATGTCACTCCAACTGCTGATATTCAAGACTTCATTCGCTTCCACACACATTACTGTTACATCCTTATGCAGCCAAAACCCCTAACCACACACACTTTACACTTAGTGAATCGTCATGCTACAATATAGTACAATCACTCACCTTCTCTCTTTCAATCTGTCATAGTAGTCACTGACTATAAGAACAATTAGATCAGACAGGCTGGTGACCTTAGTAACAAATCTAAGCAAGATCTAAAAATAGTTCCTCACACATGTGCAGAATCATGAGATCAAATATGAAATGTTGAATGGGAAAACATTGGAAGGAATTAGTTGGAACATGGATCTTAAGCAAGTAACACCTCTTTTTACTTGTTATCGTCAAGCAAAGGAAATTGCACAATGACAAGTTCCAATTCAATTCAACACACTATGCTGCATATATCAAATGCATGGATGAATTACTAAGCATGATAATCACATAAGATTGCCATGTGTGACTCACTCAATTGGATTCAAGCTATGACTTATACAGCACCAAATCTTCCAACCCAAATGATGAATTCTACATTGTTGAATATGTGAAAAGTGTAAATGATCAACTCTTATGGTCAAAACTCATAATGGTGAAGAAAGAATAATATATCAAAAGATATTGCAGCTCAGGCAAAATGAACTGAACTGAAAGTAAAAAGAAAAGATAAATATAAAATGAAAGAAAGAGACAAAAAAAAAAAAAGGAAGAGAAAACTATTTTATTTCAGGTAAATAACTAAAGCTAAGTGTGTTTTGACTTTTATCAGATATATAATGCATAAATCTTTTCTCACACTACTTTGTTTTAATATTTTCATGTATCATCTTGTCATAATTTTATTAAATTATATATTGGCGTTTATTGTTTGTTACTGTTAGTTGTTTCTCCTCATTTGTGTATTTGACCCTGTAAGAGAATACATCCACTATGGAGTGGTAAGCCCTTGGTCATATTCTTTAACAACAAGTTGTTTTATTTTTTTATTTAAATTTTGTGTTACAGCAATTGGTTCATAACACTATCAAGAAATGACTCAGCAGCACTGACCAAACTTCAAAGTGACCACCGCATCAACAGTAAGAGCTTAATTCTATCTCCTTTATACCCATTACTACTACATATGCATACACATATGATCTCACACAAACACACTAGTAACAACATTTCACATTTCTCACATATGTATGCAATATAGTTTTTACTATACACAAGAACTCTTAAAAACCAGAAAAAAGGCATTACTCATTCAATACATTTCAATCACCCGTATATTCCAGCCTGAATTCCTGTTATATAAAATTAATGTGATTTCTTAATATTATGTTGTGCTTTTATACATATTTTATTCTTTTAATGAATGTTGTGGGATTGTTTTAAAAGGTCAAATTATGAGTAGTCCTGCAACCAGAGAATCTGAGATCAATGAGTGACAAACAGGGAAGAGATTCTATCAGGACATGAAAGAGATGGAGACCAGAGACACTGGGATGCAGTCATGATGGCTGATTACTACTGGACTTTAAAGAGGGACAACCCTGCCACTGATCATTCTAAGGGTTTGAATAAACAGAATTTCAAGCCCTGAATTTTGAACAATGATGATGTAACATGTAGTTTACATGTACATTTATCAATGTATACTATTCAATTTATTGTAATAGATGTTTGTAACATTTAATTAATAAATTGTGTTAGAAAACATTTTTTTTTCTTAAAAACTAATTTTGTATGAGAAATAATAACAAAATTCAATTGATATTATCACAAAAATGTAATAGATTTAGCCAGAAGATCAGATTTTTAAAAACTCAACTTAGCACAAAAACATGACCTAATTGAAACAGATATCATTTTTGGATTCAGTATTGAAAAATTGTCCTAAATCATTTGGAAAAACAGACAACTTAAAAAGTTTTTATGTTACCCAGTGTTCCTTCAATACAATATAGATCAAGGCTTTCTGACCTGCAAATTCAAATAAGACAAGATCATTTTCCTCTTAAATTCTGTTAATTTCAAATATTATTTACAAAGCTTAGGTTCTCATGGATGGGACTGCTAGTCTGAGCAATTTG